ACTGAAATATAGATTCATCTCTCAAGATGTATGACTCGCGATAGTCTTTTCCCTTTAAGAGGACCTATCATAATATACGATCTATAAGAGGCCTATATCTTGAGTAGTGACCCAAGGGAGACTACAATCAGAACAAAAGAGAAATTAATGATATTTGTGTACACGACTAGCGGGAGTATTGTTAATCCACTGACAACATTTCAAACATTCATAACTCTCCTATTATTAAGCTGATCGATGTCTAACTTTTGCCATTCTTTTTTTCCTATTTTGTTTCACTTTCATACAAATGGAATAGTTACAAAGATAGGAATGCCCTAATTAACCGCGTGTATATGACTCATGCTCCGGTGACCATTGCCCATAGCAGGTCAATATCGTACACTAACTGGATTTCTAACTTTAGATATTAGATTCAAGATTCAAATGATTTTATTTCCCATGCAAAACATAATACAATAACATTGCAATGTTATTTGCAATTATTCCTGAACATGGCCCTAACTCTTTTGTGTACATATATATAGCTTTGATAAAATGAAACGTCTGGGTTTGGATTAATGTGATCGGAATCAAAGAAATGTTTCACAGGGGACAGGTAAAAATGTCAGAGGTAAACAAATCAGAGGTAACCATTTCAGAAGGTAAAAAACGCCAGAGGTTTAAATGCTAGACGTACGTAAACATGTTTCATTATTTTGTATCGATTGAATAAACTTTGAATTTTTAACTATTCTGTTGGAAAGTATATTCGGAGCAAGTTTGAATACTGTAAGACGGGCTGTTTTCCAAAAGGGAGTATCAGATGTCAACCAAGCGAATTGTTTGAAAAAAGCATCGGACGGAGTCCCCTATGTTAATTTTGTCATTAAAGTAACATGCCGCCCTCTTGTGGAGTTAGATTCAGAATATCATAGTTTGTATCATTTCTCCCTGGCCATATATTACAGAAAAACAGCATGTGGGGCATGAATAACCCAGTATACCTGGGATAATTGAAGAAAGAAAATATCAATCTCCTTATAACACCCGAGCAAGAGCGTACGCAGGGGGTGGGGGGGGGGGTGGGGTTAACCCCCCTCCCCTTGAGTTCTTTTATGTATATGTTTTGTGTATATTTTTGAAGAAAACCCACCCCCTTATGAGATTATGCCATTGGCTGACCTTAAAAAGGTGACCTTACCCCCCCCCCCCCAACGGAACAAAATGTCAAATTTTCAAATTTCGAGACCAAAAAAAGAGAAAAAGTGTCCTCTTACCCCACCCCCCCCACGCTTATTCAGCGGTTGGCTGAGTCGTTGCGATTTTTTGGGCCCGATTTTAACCCCCCCCCCCCTGGAAAAAATCGTGCGTACGCCACTGCACCCGAGTTATGTTCGACTTCAATCGCAACTAGATTATATATCGCTCAAGACGGCTATCTGTAAGGTTCTGAATTGCTACAACTCGATATAATCTGGGGGATCTGTAAATGCTCGCGCGTTTGCGCATACTCTTGCTTCTCCCCACCCCCGTTTGGAAAATCCTGGATCCGCCTCTGCTAATTACCATTCCACTTTTTGCGCTTGGCAAACAAACCCCTTTTGTAACCATTTATTTCAATATTCCTTTTAAATAGCTATGCTCGCTTGGATGCTTTACATTATTCCATTATTTGCTCCTGGAAGCTAACACAATAGACATGTTTGGTGTTCGGTTCGAAGATTGAGGGTCTGGGTTCATGCGTGGGTGCGTACCGTACAACGCTAAGTGTTGATATTGACTTGATGTAACTCTAATACTCTGGCAGGTCATACACTTTGACAACGACTTGTATTTACGTATTTATTTATTCATGTGGTCTTATAGACAGGTGGTCATTTGTTATATTTCTTTTCTTCAGATACCAGACAATCTAACAATTTGCACCTTTCCGGCCTCATGCTTACCTTAATTTTAACATAAAACAGTCTCTTTCTGTATAAAAAAAACACACAAATATGTCGGTCTAGTGGTCTGTACCCTAAATCGATAAATGAAGAAAATTTGGCTTAAGTAAATACCAAAACACTTGTAAAATAGTTTAAACTACTTTAACAGATAATTGAAAAAAGACTATTTAATTCAGCTATATGCAACTTAGCGATCGGGACCCATTCATCTCTCTCCCACTTTCTCTCTCTCTGTGTCTGTCTCCATTTCTCATTCTCTCTCTCTCTCTCTCTGGTTATGTCTATCCAGTGATATGTGAGTTAAACCCTGGTCTATCTTTCTCTCTAGCTTTACCACACTCTGAATCACTTCATATTTTGTTAATTCCTTTTCCCTCTACCTTCCTTCTCTTCTTTCTCCGGGAACGGGGGGGGGGGGGATGCTTGTTCCAAAAATGTCCAGTAAAGGGGTACTTTTCACGCAGCAAAGTCCGGCTATTAACACACAACAAAATTGGTCCGTAATGACTTTACACACCGGACCGGAGGGGGATGTTCTCAAAAGGAGGGAACATGCGTACGCGTACCCTAAATAACACTGAGTTTGGGGGTGGGGGGGGGGGGGGGCTATAGCGCTTTCCATTGACTTCCTTACTTCTTGGAGAGGGTGGAAGGAGAGAGAAACTGTCCACCTACCCATCCCACGTTGGTGTTGCTGTTGTGTGTGCGTGTGTGTGTGTGTGTGTGTGTTTGTGTGGGTCAACATATCGTCTATTCGTTTGATCAAATGGTCTTTCCTTTCTATGACCTGAGGGCGTTTAGTATACAAGCATACCTTTTTATCATGTCTAACTATTTTGAAGAAAAGAATTTTCTTGAAGGCCATAAGAAGTGAATAATATATTTTTAACCCACTGTTTTTAAATTGTTACTTACTGAGATCTACGTAAACCATCACTGTTATCATAATGTTGTTTTATTTTGCTCTCTTTGTTATGCAATATCATCTGAAAATAGTAAACAAACAAAAAAAGAAATTAAAGGACCAGTGCAATGTTTGTGATAATCACTACACCATTCTGGCAAAAACGATAATCCCTTCGTTGGACCCAGATTTACGATGTAATCAAGAAAAGAGACCTTAAACATTTTGGATGAAAGTTAAAGGTACCTACAGTTTAAGATCCGTAATTCTCATCAATTAGTTCAGCCCAACATATAGCATATGTTTTAATATTTCAGTCATTGAAATAAATGATTTCCCATACATTTAATATTGAGCCATTATGAATATTTTTAGAGCACTGGGGGGGGGGGGGGGGGGGGGGCTTAGGTGCCCCCAAAAGATGTAATATTGGATGAACTTACTAAAACACCCTTCCAAGTGTCTAATCATGAGAATAGGTGCATCAATACATGGATCTACTTGGGACTAGTCATCATCATTATCATTATATCTGTGTCATCATTATCATTATATCGGTGTCATCATTATCATTATATCAGTGTCATCATTATCATTATATCTGTGTCATCATTATCATTATATCTGTGTCATCATTATTTTTGTTGCGGTATTATCATTGTTCAAATAATGGAGGCTAACAATGACAATGTTTACATGTTTCAAGTTAATGAGTCATAGCTTTCTGTTACAAATTGATGGACTGATTGATTTTTGTCTAGTATTCTTTCGGAGTTCAGAATGAAGCATGAAAACATGTCCAGAAAATTGAGGTTATGTACGAATTCATGATGTTTGTCAGTGTTCGCGTATTAAGTACTTGTATACGTTTGGAAACTAGTCTTAAAGTGCAGACACCGTTACGCACTCCAACAATGGATTGTGTCTCCAAACAATGCATGGACGTAGACTTTTGGCTGTGTGCGTGGGCTAGAACAAATGCCGGTTTAGTGGGTTGTAGCCTATATCGAGAAATGTAGACAAATTAGCTCAAGTAAATGGCAGAAGAACTTTGATAAAATTGTCCTATGTGCTGAATTTCTTGCGTATTCAAGAAAAAAGTACGGTAATTTTGAAAGCAGATTTTAGGAAAGATTAAACAAAATAGCACTAACAGTAATATTTTCCGATTATAGAATAATAATAGTTATGAATGATACATCCATTTTTGCGTTCTTCGAAATAATACAGAAAATGTAAATTGATATTCAATTGGATTTAATCATATGTTGACGTATCATGGGAAAATGAAAAGCTTTTGCGTTCAAGTGGGTAAGCTCAATAGAAATTATGTAGGTAAATATCACTGCCACTAGCTGGTTTCGGCTCATTCTAAATAGTCAACCGTGCATATCTTCTCTGTTCATGCATTACATTCCTTCGAGGTGATGTGGTCATGATGACGTACTATCGTGATGATTTTCTACAAAACAACGCCTGTTTCTCACAAAGGGATCCACCATTTTCTCAATATCTGTTTCATCGGTTAGTTTAATCGGGAAACTGTAATCAGACACAAATGAACTATTTAGTTCTTATAACTTTGTGTAATATACCATCAAACACAAGGTCAATTCTTCGGATAACAAGCAGAGAGCTAAATTATTTTAAAAACTCCAAGCGATTTATCGTGGAACAATATTATGCACTAATATGTGAACGGATTGTACAATCTACAATATTCATTTTGTATGCAACTGACCTTCGATGTGATACTTGGATGGACCGGAGCACGTTGATTTATATAAAGGACATCAGACCAATAAAGTGAATATATCAAACTTGTACTAACAGCGCCAGGACTGTCCGAGACGGATTTTTAAATTATAACATTTGAATTATGCTCGCAAGTATTACTTTATCAAATTAAAATAATTCCTCTGCCGTATTTTCCAATGCATACGCACTATTAGGCTTCGAATAGTTTAAACCTGCAGGGTAACAGCGAAAGATATATACCTCTCGAGCTGTAGAGCGGGTAACCTCATTAACGTGTATCAGTAGTCTCTTCCTAGAACGATTCACAGGACGCAAAGGTGACTTTGACAAACATGAAGTATTAGGTCCAGAACGAGGAAATATCCATAAGCTTTGTTTCAAAATAGGGTCCACAGACATATCCAAACATGGATGAGCGAGCAGCAAATAAGCTAGCTTCTGAGGTCGATAAAGCCCTCTCCACGGCAGCTTTAGAGGGTCATCTTCATGTAGTTAAGTATCTCGTTGGTCAAGGGGCACAGGTTGAGGGGATTGATAATAATGGTTGGACACCACTTCATGCGGCATCAATCGGAGGTCATCTTGACGTAATTCAGTTCCTCGTTACTCAAGGAGCACAGGTAGACAGGGGTGGTAATAACGGTTCGATACCACTTCTTGGGGCATCATTCGGTGGGCATCTTGGTGTAGTTAAGTATCTCTTTGATAAAGGGGCACAGATTGATACGCCTCAAAAAGATGGTTCTACGGCTCTTATGATTGCATCAGTTGAAGGTCATCTTGACGTAGTTCAGTACCTCGTAAGTCAAGGAGCACAGGTTGAGAGGGGTAATAATGCTAATAGGACACCACTTCATCACGCATCATCAAATGGTCATCTTGAAGTAATTCAGTACCTCGTTACTCAAGGAGCACAGGTTAAGAGGGGTGATGATGATAGGGGTCAGACGCCACTTCATACGGCATCATTGAATGGGCATCTTGACGTAGTTCAGTATCTCGTTACTAAAGGAGCACAGGTTGAGAGGGACGATAATAGGGGTCAGACGTCACTTCATGCGGCATCATCCAATGGTCATCTTGACATAGTTCAGTATCTCTTTGATAAAGGGGCACAGATCGATAAGCCCGCAAAAAAGCATGGTTCTACGGCTCTTCACTTTGCATCACTACGTGGTCATCTTGATGTAGTTCAGTACCTCGTTATTCAAGGAGCACAGATTGAAAGGCGTGATAATGATGGTAATACACCACTTCTTGATGCATCACGCAATGGTCATCTTGATGTAGTTCAGTATCTCGTTGGTCAAGGGGCACAGGTTGAGGGGATTGATAATAATGGTTGGACACCACTTCATCTGGCATCAATCAGAGGTCATCTTGACGTAATTCAGTTCCTCGTTACTCAAGGTCGAAGAAGAAGCAAAACAAGGAAGAAGAAGAAGAAGAAGAAGAAGAAGACGAAGTAGAAGAATTGAAGAAGAAGAAAGTACAAGAGTAGGAGCTAGAGGAGGAGAAGGAAAACAAGAAAAACACCGATAAAGACCCTCGATGATATAACTCGATGGTAACGATAATTATAGACAACATAGTTTTATGATGCACCTTCCCTCGCCCCCCTCCCCCTCCCCCTCCTCCTTCCCCTCCCCCTCCCCCTCCCCCTTCCCCTCCCCCTCCCCCTTCCTATATATTCAGTGCGGCGCGACCGATCGGCATGACGGTTGGGCCAAGGAGGAAAACGCGCGAAATTATAGGTGCACAATAATAATTGACAAAATACAAGGGGGGTTACTCAACAGGTACACGGGCACGTTGACGGGCTAGAATAGCCAGACACACTCATTTGGGTGCGAGATCATCGTACACAATGTGTCGTGTGTATTTCGTAATGGACAATTTGTAATGTATTTAGCGACAAATACGATGATCTAGAAATTTACGAGAAATTGCGCCGAAATTGAAGATCGCAGAACGTTTACATGAATTTTGTTCATCATGTTTGGTCTTTCCATACCTCTTTGTTGGCCTAGTTAGCCCCTTGCTGTGATTTGATTTTGACGGGGATCGACCTGGGAAAGTGGTATCACTAGTCATGCTAGTGGAATCCTATCCTTCCGATTTTCAATGCTAAATTATGATTTTTTTTTGGGCACGGACAAAAAATACACGGAACACAGGTAAGTCCCTTTTCGTCAAATGCTAAGCCTAGTACTGCTGGTTTAATATTGTAAAGTTGTAGAATTTAGTGAACGAACTGACACGGCTCAGATCTCAACTGTGGTGGTGAATGCAGACAGCCCATGCGAGGGCCGGGCAGTCCTTCCATACATGTACAGCTGAGCCCGACGCAACACGGTTGATCACTGGCAGCTAGCTACCGCAGTCACTTTGCTAGTATACAAACCCAATGTTTATTTCAACTTGTAATCGATTCTCAAATCTCGCCATTGCAAGCAGACGACAGACATTAGCGCATGCGCAGTATAGTTACTCCTGATAGATGGCGCTGTTTGAATTTTAAAATTGTTCATCGAACGGCAAGCGACTGAACCGTTCATTCGGCCATTTCAACATTGAGCATTTGGGCATATATTTCTGCTTTTTTGAGAATTTAGGTTGAAGTATTGCCATCTAAACCTCTGAAGACAATATTCAAACAATATTGAATGGATATTTCGCACCCAAAACCCTTGAACTGCAATTTTACCATTACTGGTCTTTACCTTTAAGTAGTTGCTATCGTATAAAATATTGATGCAATCAAAACATAGTTATATATTTAGTCGGTAATGCACAAGTTGCAGTCTGTCGTCTTTTCTTTATTTGTACACATTGATCAATACAATCACATGGACAGCTGAACAGTAGCAAGTCTCTTTTGACTCTGCCCAAGTTTTTAATGAAATAAATGCTCAACCCGAGAAATGTAATTGAATTGTATTCATTCCAATTGAATGAACTCATATAATAATAATTAAAGTATTTTGGGCAAGGAATAAGGAATTTTATAAAGCTTTTTGAAATGACTAGTCACTAGAGGGCGATATTCAATTTGATGACATCATTTGTGGACAACTCTCCATGTCTTTTGTACATCAAATTTCATGTTTTTCCTTCTTTCTTGTGATTGAGATAATCTACTCCCCTAAAAGCAAGGCATAGAATGCTAAATGATATTCTACTTTACATGTTATTAAGTCGGATCAAGAACACAAATAAATACGAAGAAAACGAAAGAGTTGTGAAATTTGATGTACAAAAGGAGTTTTTCACAAAATGATGTCATCAAATTGAATATCGCCCTCTAGTGACTAGTCATTTCAAAAAGCATTAGCTTCCTTATTCCTTGCCCGATTTTGTTCAAATTTTCACTGATTTTATTCAAATATCTTAAACTTTACAATAAAAGTAACTTAGTATGAAGGTTTTGGTTTCCTTTAAATACGATTGAAACAAGTATCTATATATTTATACTTATAGATTGTGGGTTAGTTCTCTTTCTATACTTAGGAATTTTAAGGTGTAAGTTCTTATTCGTATCCAATTCACAATGCTATACATCTTAACATAATAATTCCTAAAAGCGTACATTATTAAAAAGATCATTTCATGGAAGTCAAAATATGCTGCGAAAATAGATTATCAATTTTTTAAGAAAATTATTCTCTTGTAAATGAATGATATAGAGTGTTTTAAAATGGTATGAGTTTAATACAACAAAATATCGCTGGTATATCCCATTTCCTGAGAGGTGCCTTTCTTCCTAAAATAAAAGTTAATGATTGGAACTGAAATCCATCGACTCATCTTTTTTGTTATAATCACCGGTAGTCTTGAATGGTTGATGTACGAGGGAGACTAGAGCCTCGTACACAATTAGAGAGCAAACATTGAGAGAGACTGAGTGTGTACATGTATTTACGAAAGCAGTGAGACGATTTCCGTAAGAGTTATCCTGAAGCGTACATAGTTGTTTACATAATTTCATGGAAGTCAAGGTTTGATTATGGTGTGGAAACAAATGATAATTTTTCGTTTTATTCAAGTCATGCTTGCATGTAATCAGAACATTTTTTGTTTTTTCCCCAAAAAATCTGGCTCAAATGGATTTGTACATGCCATTTTCAATACAATGGTGCTCGGTGAAGCGTGTTATGAAAGGCTGTGATAAATATATCATTTGAAAGCACCCCGGCCCCTGGATACGTCACTGATGTCTTCCTAGTGTTCATGCATATAACGAGGAAAATAGATTTCTTTACATGCTTTTCAATTCGTCCACAAAAGCTCTCCTAGGTTGAAGTTCAGACTATAAGCCAGACAATAGACTTTATTTCATTCGATTTTTTCTTCTCTTCCATCAATAGCAGGTAGTGCCTGAATTGCTTACACCGGGTATTACTCTAGCGGAGCGGTAAAATCCCACCTTTAGGCAATTTACATAGAGGAAGCAAATTTAATCTCACAGTGGGGTTCAAAAGGTTTATAATTTTCATTTCAATCTGACATTAGTATCGTCATTAAAGGTACTATGTCCCATTTGCAGGCCAAAAAAAAATGAAAAAGTTAAATTCCAACTGCATTTGAAAGATAATACTAATTTAGAACTTCCCTAAAAAAGGTGGGGCTTGAAAATGTCTTCAAGTGGGAAAATAACGACTATTAGTTGTCAAATCGACTTTAGGGCTATAGAGCCCAAAAGTAATAGTCTTGATTTTCAGACAATTGTACCGAATGGTCATACGTTTTATACTGCGCAAAGATTCAATCAGTTTAATCTTGGCCATCACAAGAAGTGGGTTATTGATGTAGACAAATGTTCATGTACCCTTTACAACTCTTTTCATGTATGTTATTACCAAAGAAGAAAAAAGCCAGTCAGTCACTCAATAGTGTCTGACAGTGAAGTCTAGCAAGTAAACGGGTTTCCTTGCATAATTTGAATATGAGGACACTGCTAATGTTTAAATTTCACAGATAGGACATACATGACATATTCATAAATCCTGCAAAGTTCTACAGCATTTGAGGTTGGTTGCAAAAGGGACATAGTACCTTTAAAGTAATTTTAAGCGCAAGGGGGTCTCCTTACTGTATTGACCATAAATAGAAATCCGACCTTCATAGTAAAGAACTTTCAAAAAAAGCGGAAAAATCAGGGAAGCAGACAAGTGAAATGTAGAATAAAATCGGACAAAAACTAACAAAGATTTGACTTTTAGAAAGTTGTAATAAGTATACGTATCTGAACTTAAAATTTTCTGAATCGGTAATGTTCTGTAATGCAGTGCCAGACAATTTTCTAATTTATTCCAAAACACAACATTAATGAAATATAGATTCATCTCTCAAAAAGGAATGACTCGGGATGGTCTTTTTCCTTTTAGAGGACCTATCGTAATAAACTATCTATAACAGGCCTATATTTCGAGTAGTGACCCAAGGGAGACGACAATAAGAACAAAACAGAAATTAATGATATTTTTGTACACGACAAACGGGAGTATTGTTAATGACTACGTCAAAATCCACTGACAAAATTGCCAATTTGAGAATCGCATAGCTACACTGATGTGATATTTCAAACATTCATAACTTTCCTATTATTAAGCTGATTGATTTCTAACTTTCACCATTATGTTATTCTTATTTGTTTCGCTTTTATACAAATGGACTAGTTACAAAGATAGGAATGCCCTATTAATTAATCGTGTGCATATGCATCATGCTCCGGTGACCATTGCCCATAGGTCAATATCGTACACTAACTGAATTTCTAACTTTAAATATTAGATTCAAGATTTAAATGATTTTATTTCCCCTGCAAAACATTAAACAATAAAATTTCAATGTTATATGATATTATACCTAAACATGGCCCTAACTCTTTTTTTTACATATAGCTCTGATAAAATGAAACTTCTTGGTTTGGAGTGATGTGATCGGAGTAAAAGAAATGTTTCACAGGGGACAGGTTAAAATGCTAGAATAAAAAACATTTTAGAAGGTAAAAACGCCAGAGGTTTAAATGCTAGACGTAAACATGTTTCATTATTTCGTATCGATTGAATGAGCAATGATTTTTTAACTATTCTGTTTGGAAGTATATTTGGAGCAAGTTTGAATACTATACGACAAGCTGTTTTCCAAAAGGGAGTATCAAATGTCAACCAAGGGAATTGTTTAAAGAACAGCATCAGCCGGAGTCCCCTATGTTAATTTTGTCACTAAAGTAACATGCCGCCCTCTTGTGGAGTTGATTAAGAATGTCATAGTTTGTATCATTTCTCCCTGTCCATACATTACAGAAAAACAACATGTGGGGCATGACTAACCCAGTATACCTGGGATAATTGAAAGAAAGAAAATATCAGTCTCATTATAACACCTGAGTTATGTTTGACTTTATTCGCAACTAGATTATTTATCGCTCGAGAGGGCTATCTTTAAGGTTCTGAATTGCTAAAACTTGATAGATTCTGGGGGATTTGAAAATGCTCGCGCATTTGCGCATACTGTGGCTTCTCCCCACCCCCGTTTGGAAAAATCCTGAATCCGCTGCTGCTATTTACCATTCCATGTTTTACGCTTAGTAGCAAACAAACCCCTTTTGTAACCACTTATTTCAATATTACTTTTAGATAGCTATGCTCGCTTGGATGTTTTCCATTATTCCATTATTTTCTCCTGGAAGTTGGGAAAAAAGACATGTTTGGTGCTAGGTTGCAAGATTGAGGGCCTAAGTTATTACATGGGAACGGACGCTAGAACGCTAAGGCCCAAATTTACAAAGGAGGTTTGTCGACAAGGGTTTAAGTACACTGTACGTCATATGAAAAAAACATCAGTATAGATACGAGAAATATAGCTTATTGCAACATATGTCCACCTTACCATGACACATGGGAAACGCTTGAGCTACGTAAATTCGGCTGTCTTCAGAGGTAAAAATGTTACATGTAAAAATGTCACGATTATTAAAAAATGTCACAGATAAACATGACAAAGGTAAAAATGTCAAAAGCAAATATGTCAGAAGTTTAAAGCATTTTCCATGTTTTGTTCATACAACGTCAAGCAGGGGAGAAGGTAAAAGATAAAGAAAATAATAAAGAGGAGGGGCATTGCTTGTCATCTTCAATTAGGTCTAATCTAAAAAAAATTGTCATATAGGAATTAAAAAACGAATTTTGCGAGGCTATATAGAAGCGATTTGAATGAGGATAATTTGATTTTAAGTCTAGGATTTGTATGCTAGATAGTTCCATCTTGAAGCTTAAGAGTATAGGAAAAAATTAATTCTGATAACAAGATGGTGTGGTATTTTGTTAGTCTGATAATCATCTTGTTTCAGCAACAGGAATTTATTATATTTATAGAGTCAAGAGGACATTCTTCCTCTTCTCCTTTGGTTCTTTCTTCGTCTTACTAGGGCCGGCACAACTAAGATTTTCAATCTTTAGGGCTGGTCTTCACACGGCCTGTTCTCTATCTTTTTTTTTATTTTCCTACTATAAAATAAATTTGATTTATACATTGCACATGCTTTGTTTTGAACTACATCGGTTTTGGGGGTATGAATGATGTACATTGTATATGTTCATTATTTATATTTATTTATATCGAGTGAATAAACTTTGAACTTTGTGCTATTCTGTTTAAAAGTATAGTTGGAACAATGTTATGAACAACTTTGAAACAACAAGCTATTTTCTGAAAGAGAATATCAAATATCGCCTAGCTAATTGTTTAATAATTTCTCCCTGTCCATACATTACACAAAAATATCAGTCTGTTTTCAGTCGTCTTAAACATGTAACACCTAATTTATGTTTGACTTCTTTCGCAACTAGATATTCTATCGCTCAAGACGGCTACCCTCAAGGTTTTGGACAGCTAAAACTTGAGAGCGTCTGGTTGGCTCTGCCCCTGGACCTCACCCAGAAATGCAATGGCGTTTGTGCATACTTCGCTTTCGCTTCGCTCCCCCTCCCTCCCCCCCCCCCCCCCCCCGTTTTGAGAATCCTGTATTCGCCTCTGCTATTTACCATCCAATGTTTTGTGCTTGGCAAACAAACCCCTTTTGAAACCACTGATTTTAATATTCCTTTTAAATAGCCTTCGCTCAGATGTTTGCCATTATTTTTTATTTTTGCAAACATAGTAAGGTTTCAAGCAGTCGTCTCGACGGTCGTGAGTAGTTGGTTCTTAGGGCCCTTTTGGACCAACGGGTCTATATGGTCTGTTTCGTTTCAGTGTTCATAGTAGGTTTTCTAACCCAAACACACATTCTCAGCCAAAAAGAACCGTTTTTCCCTATATGATTGTTATAATTTCGCACTTTGGGCACATTTGACCCAAATTGAGATTTCACACTGAAACCAATGATTTCAAGAAGGGGACTGTACGTTTACCTGTTGGAGTAATCTATGGACAATGTAGACACTACTTGCTATAATACGACGGTCTGGCTTTTACTCCGGACTTTAATCTAGGGGAGCAATTGTGGGGTGAGTTGAATAGCAGGTTAATACAAATAAATCTCTTTATCGTTATGCATGAACACCAGTTGCTGATCCAGGGACCATGGAGCACCTACTTCTAGCCCCCCCCCCCCCTCCCCTCGCAACCAGAGAATAAGAGAACGGGGAAACAAATATTTGAGTTCATGACCTTTTACTGTATGTTTTATTTCGCTTGCTTGATATTTAGACTTATACCCCCTCCACCCCCAAACCCATCCCGGATTCGCCACTGGGATAGACATTGTTATGAAAATGAATAATGGGATATTTACCACTTTGCAAGTTATTAACCAAGCTGTGGCATACTGAAATATCTTGAATGTGTATTTTTTTTCTTCTTCAAAATCCCCCATGAAAAAGAAAGAGAAATACAAAATAAATCCAGATTACTTGCTCTTTGGAATACACACGACTTTTTGAAATGTGCAATACAAATATTGTAAATAATATAATACATTGAAACATAATGTGTAGGTTTTACCTTATTTTAACATCTGGAAAATCATGAGCTGTTGAGAATTGTGACAAAATTCGAAAAACTAGCTCTTATCGCTAATGCAAACCCTCTTTATACCGCTACAAAAATAGTATAAATATGTTAAGAAGTTCCTAAAAATTAGTTTTTCATCAAAAATCTCAAATCTATGTCCATTACAAACGTGTTTTCCGCGAATACCTTCATACAAATAGGTGCATCAATACATGGATCTACTCTATCACTAATCATCATCATAATCATTATATCTGTATTGTCTTTTTATTTTCTCGACATTATAAGGCACTGTTTTTTTTAACTTATACCAAATGTGTCCACAAATGGGTCCAAAATGAAATTATGTTTACTCACTTTAAACTTATATTTTTAGGATCAGGACTAATCATATTTTTGAGAAATGCAAATTCTGGACCTTAATCTATCTCCTTATTTGTTCACCAAATATGAATACTTTGAGTTGTTACAATTTTATTGTGAACTATAGCATAACTTATAACTGTGATATAAAACTCATTTGCTATTAACTATACCTTTAAATATGTTGGGTCTTTAAGAATATGTTTCAGAGATTAATCATGCAAATTTTGAGTTTCTATCTTGAAAAATACAGATTTTGTATCCCTTGAAAGTGATAAATAGCTCTAAATTAGGGCTTTGACAATAACAAGTTTTTAATTCTATAGGTAAAATGCTTTTTTCTTAGGTCAAACTTATTTTATTATAACAAGTGATGATATAAGGTAAATACTTGCAAAAAACTTGGGAACCAGTGCATTGCCTAATCATTTTCATATGTCACACCACTGATGTTTCGGACGTTACACACTGTTAACATTATAACTTTCTTCAAGTTAATTGCTTTTCTTTAGGTATTATTGATCTCAGTTACTTTAATTGTTTGCAGAAAAATACTTCTGTAACATTTATGGGAAAAAAATGCGCAGTTTTAATTAGTTTAGCACATACATGTATACCAAGTTTGTCTTCATCGACCACTCAATTCATGTAAGGAATATTATTCATTTCAAGAACGTGTACCGGTAGTTAAAAATTGTTTATGTGATCTAACAGAGTGAAATATGAAGCTAATAGCAAGTTTAGTTATCAAAACTCCTTAGAAAATTCACGTAGAAACATACTCTTTATTGCATGTTATGAACAACAGTGTGAAATGGTTTGTTTCGGATGTTGCACGATGTTAACATTTCAATGAGATCATCAATTTCTACAAACTCTACAATATAGATGTTTAATCAGCTTGCTAATGTTCTTTGCCTTCAACTATATAGCGTGTCATTCAATAATATTACTAACACATACATGTATGTAAGCAAAACATTGAAAAATCTTTTTAAAAATAAAACTATAAAAAAGTACCCCCAGTCATGTAAGTACGGTAATAAGAAATAAGTAAATCCTAATGTTTGTACATCTCGAGAATGAGACATTTTAGATGAATTTTAAAATTGTGTATGTTTTAGGTTATAATACTACTGTAGTAATAATAATAATAATAGTGGCTACTTGTATAGCGCACAGGTCCACCTTTCGGTGCTCATGGTGCTTAGAAAAGAGTACATGTAAAAGGCATAAGAAAGAAAAAACAATCAACCGAAAAACAAATTCGGAATTCTCCTAGACATAGTAAATTAAAATATTGCAGTAATTACAACGAAAGAAACAAATAGGTTTTTAGTTGTAATTTGAATGTTTCTGTCGATGACAGTTGACGTAATTTTAGAGGGAGCTTATTCCACAGTTTTGGACCCATCCTTTACCACTATTTGTATTAGGAGGCTGTTTCAAACGACAACATTTTGTAATGCTCTTAAATAAGTATTTATTTATTTATTTAATTGATGACCGATTGATGAATGGATGGATTGATTGGTTGGTCGGTTGGTTGGTTGATAGATCTTAACTCTTGCTGTGCCGATATCACAGGTGACAAACAATATACAGTGTAGGTTAAACATGTACCGTATTTGCCGGCGATAAGGCCGCAGCGCCGCACCCTCAACTTTGACATTTCGTAGAGGAAAAAAACAAAAACGGACAGCCCATTTATATTTCACACTAGTGTCGGGTTGCGGTTCTAACAGATAATTCCTAGCACTCTTAACACAGAGGCAGCCCAGCAGACATGTTGTAGGATTGATAACTACTGGCTAACTGACCAGGTTTTAATGTGTAAAAGCATTACAGCATTCTATGTAGCATTCCACATACATTCCATGCAAAGTAGAAGAAATCAATATATATTCACATAGTCCCATACAAGTATAAATCAACATCACAAAGTATTCCTGAATATTCAAACATAAACAAAGGGTATATATTGAATATTCATAGTATATGTACATTATAATATATAAGCTCGCCTGCATCAGGTGAATATTGAAACCAATGAGAGAGAGAGAGAGAGAGAGATAGACAGATGAAAGGATGGTGGATGAAAAGGGTGAATGTGAATGAGGGATGACCTATTAATATGAAAGGGATGAATCGTGGATATGAAGGGGAGTTTCAGAAGTTCGAAATAAATCCCTACACTAGCTTATACATTTTGTATGTATGCATACATTTGAGGAAGATACTACTTGTATATTTTTAGGATCATTAAATAAGGTATTACTGGTCATGCCCTTTTATTTTATACATGTGTGTACTTTCTACACAGATTAGTTACGTGTACTAAGTGCCCTTTTTAAAAGGTATTTTCAAATGAAAATCCACATTTCCCATAATTTTTTAGAAAAACATTTTAATTTGCTTGATTTTATTAACTTTATATACCTGTATCATACCCGTGTCATGTACATGTACACTGGGTATTGCTTAAATGGGTGATTTTTAGCTTTTGTAACCTACCAAATAGTTTAGATTGACCATACAATCTTTGGTTATATGACATAATTTGGAACAACCTCTATAAAAATGAAAACCTGATGATTTGCAAACACACAGCAATGTAAATAGCAAGAGGAGAGGTTGAAAAATTGAAATTTGCTATTCTCACATCTATCTTTGCCCCTCATTTGAACTAGTTAAATTATGAAAATGTCTGTTAACAGATCCTGTACGTTTTCCGCTCATGCATTACACGCATTGTCTATGGGACATATCGGGTTCACGCTTTTGACCCCCAGAACGATCTTTATTGCAATGACGAACATGCACCAAATCCCCTTGGTTTTTGCACGCAGTGCTTGCGAGCCCTTTCCACGTCCTTTCCCATATCCCAATTTCTTTCAAACTTCGTAGGCATAGTCACTACCATCCCATCAAGGTCACCGTTGAGGCCTTTCTTTCGCCCTACCTATCTCCAATATCACAGAAGCTACAGACTTCGTACAAATTGCTCTGGATAGTCCAAGAGTAGCTCTTTCGTTTGACACGTAAAAACATAGCGTCATTGCACGCACATCGTTGTGACACGATTGCATTTCTAGTTTACATATTCATGTCATGGCTGTTGTTAGCTCAAAGTCAAAGACCGAAACTATTTCATTTTCTGTTAAATTTCAGTTTCCTCATGTGGTCAGGCATCAAATGGGACTGGGATTCTTAGTAATAACGTTTTTACATTGAATTCCAAATAGGATTTGATCTAGACTTCTAATAAAAGTCAAGATCTAGCACTTTTTTTAGCAGTCTAGACCACTCCAGCATGCTAATGCGTATTGACCTCGAGCAGTAGCACTGCACCCTATCGATCTGTTGTTGTCCCTCCGCTTTTCGGAGATCAGCGAGTTTATCGCATTCGCAGTAGTATAGGCTGCTGTAAATATGTTATAAAATCCTTAGTTGGAGGGTATGGAGTGCAGGCGATGGACATGAATTTTGTAAAGATAGTGAAGTGTCAACTTTCCGATGTAAGAAAGAATAATTTAAAAAATTCAAATCACATGTCTACTGTCAAATTTGCCGGTCAGCCACATCGTATTCATTGTGTGCATCTGTGTATATTGACTTTTACACCGACACATATTTCCCTAAATAAAAGTTAATAATAATCTGATTTGTGAAATGGGATTCCATGTTTTGCCCAGGGGTAGAGAAACAGTACTTGCTAGCTTGTTTATTTGTTGAGGAAATCACTCTGGAATGTTTGATTTATTTTTTGTGTTCATTCTGTGTTGATTGTTTTGTTTTTGTTTTTTTGGTTCCAGGCGCAGAGATGTACATAGGCCCTCATAGAAGTTGTACAAAATCCCCCCCCCCCCACAGGCTTCACAACCAGTCATGTGACCCCTAGCCCTCCTCTTCCAATTGACCACCCCCCTGATCTTGACCTCAAGGATGCATCCTGGAAACAAAGTAAGTTGTGATTTAATTTATTCTATTCACATGGGAATTTGTTTCCCTAAATAGCAGTCAGTGAAACTTCTGATCAGTGAAAAAAAACATTTACATGTATGTTCTCCCATAGGATACAGTAGTGATTGCTCTCATTTCCTCTTCTTACATGATTAGGAAATCTGGATGCATAACTGTTTAATATCATGTAGATTACTTTGTATATGTATATTCAAACAACCTGCGTTGTTCATTCACTGTCTAATGTTGATAATTTTGTTCCAGGTGCGGAGCTATACACAGTCCTTCCTACAAGTTGTAGAAGATCTCACACAGGCTTCACAACCAGTCATGTGACCCCTATAGCCTTCTTCCAACTGATCGCCCCCTTGATCTTGACCTCAAGAAGCAACCTGGAAACAAAGTAAGTTGTGATTTCATGTATTGTATGTACATGGAAACTATAAAGTGCTTTCTCAAAGTAAACTCAAATGAAACTCATTTCGAATCTCATTTTATTGTTTATTCTCGGAAAAAACAAGATCCTGTTACAATAAAGTTACCATTTATTCATAAGTTGGCTCCTTGCCTGAAAGTTTCATGTTGACTTTGTAAATCTTGCAATAAATCATCACCTCAATATTATCATTTATGTACTATGAAATCTAAAGCTACAGTCCCATATACGTCCCGGACCGTCCCGGACCATCCCGGACCCCATCCGGGGTGATCCGGGATTCGGTCCGTGTTGACACCGTGTTGGCACCGGGGTGGTCCTGGATGGTCCTGGATGGTCCTGGGCGGTCCGGGAGTCGACCCCGGATGTTTTTGACGGTCAAAAACTGCCGGGGTGGTCCGGGACGGTCCGGGACAATAGTTTGATCCGGGGTGATCCGTGTAGCCACCGTGCTGGGTCCGGGGTCATCCGTAGTGGCGCCGGGGCGGTCCGTGTTGATCCGTGGCAGTCCGGGAGTGAGTTATTGACCGCCCAGGACCATCCAGGACCATCCAGGACCATCCAGGACCACCCCGGTGCCAACACGGTGTCAACACGGACCGAATCCCGGATCACCCCGGATGAGGTCCGGGATGGTCCGGGACGGTCCGGGACATATATGGGACTGTAGCTTTTAAAGCATCACACTTTTTTTGAACAAAACATCCCGGACCATCCCGGATCACCCCAGACCATGGTCCGGGATGGTCCGGAGTGGTCCGTGCTCGTCCGTGCTGGTCCGGCTTTATATGGGACTGGGGCTTAATGCCCTTGTAGCTATCATTACGGAACGTAATACCGATATCTAAATGACAGACTGTATTTGTAGTGGTTGCAGAACAAAATATGTTAGAAAATTGAAAAACCCAAAATAAACTCCACAAAAGACACGTAAAACACATTTGTTTTCTGTTCCATTATGACCGTTGTTTTAATAACTCATTAAGAGATCGTGAATGTGAATTAGAATAATTCAATGCTGCATTTTCTGTAGAATGCACTTCACTTCCACCTACTTTACCTTTATGCATGAAACATAGATTTGAATTGGCACATTTTGAGCAATCTAGAAGTTTTCGTTCCTGTTCTGTTTGTGAAGCATTATTGACTTCTAATGACAAAACATATACCTGTAAAGATATTCCTGAAAGTGAATTGAAAAGATTGTGTGATATAAATAAAGACTTTTCAGGAACACAAGGTCATCATATATGTAGACCATGCTACATGTATTGTATAAAGAAAAGTAGTGCTAATAAAATGTCACTTAGAAGTATTGAAAGTTCGCATCAGAGTCGTGTGCTTGCATCAGATTCGGACGAAGACTTGTTACTCAAAATTCTAAATGTTTATTTGTATATACGTAGGCTGTGTCTTGAGGATGGTTATTTTTTATTCATAACTGTTTATGAATATTTTTCTGATCTTGTCTCAAAAAGATGTTGTGATGCGCTGCAGTATGACCGTGTAAATAAAAGTCCAATATTTGTAAAGGATAAGATTATACACCAGTTCGGTGAGCTTTTGATTGTACATAGAGATGCTGGTAGGAGGGGAACATTTTTTTTTACAGTGCAGAGATGTCTCGTGATTATGTTATACGTTCATGGCATATTTCAGTTTCTAAATTGAGATCATTACAAATTGACAAGAATAGTGCCCAAGATGTGCCTGATAGACCATCCTTTTCCTCACAGTTTAGTTCACCTTCAGAGGTAAACATGCAGTTCCAAAATGTCAATAACGGAAATGAATTTCTCCGTAAACAGGCGAAACACTTTAGTTGGAATATTTAACTTATCCTTTATCTTTATTTTAACTTTGACAATGTATGTTGCTACTACCGGTAGTGATCATGTTCACCTTACAGCCTGTGTTCTTTCAGCATTTCTTTCTTTTGCTAAATATAGAGTTATTGCTAAGTATAGTAAACAACTTACCAGTATGTATACATCACATGTATGAATGCAAACCAGTATTATGCACAATACTCTTTATCTGATTTAATGCTCCATTTTGTTTGTATTACATATTATATTCTTTTTTGTTATAATAGTTTATGTTGCACACTTACCGTATTCCTTGTACAGTCTTCTAATATATATTATTGCAGAATGTAGCATGTACATACTTGAGCAACTTAAGTTATTCATGTTATAACATTATTCATTGTAACTTAGGATTTTTGTATTTTCTGTGCATTAGTGCCTTACACTAGCCAGTACTTTGTGTGTGTGTCCCAGCTGGACTAATTTCTGCCAACACATGTATGTTTTAACCTTGCCAAGTTGTCTCTTGTATTCAAAGAGAAATAAAAAATGAAAAAAAATTGTTCAAAAGAAACATCCTGGTTGTGTTTATGCGTGAACTGTATGACTGATCAGAGGACTGTGTTTCTTTTAATATTGAAGGCGTTACTTTGTTAACGGGAATGTCAATCTCAACCCTTTGCAGGACCAAATTCATGAGTGACTTCAGTGTGCCTTCAACAGAATTACCTGAATATTTCTTTGCCCTCCGAATTTCAAAGGTTTGAAGGGAAAATTGCCCCCGTGTATTTTTAACTTATTTATTTGTGTGTAGTGTCAATCACTGCATTGGACACCGACATGTTCACATATCATTTCTTGGGAAGAAAAAACAACAATTAAGCAGAGAGATATTGGACTTTAATATGCGGCAACTAGGTCTATGTACTATCAACTGTGAACTTCACCATACCACTAATAACCGTGAATAATAATGGGATTTATTTTGATTTTTTTTTCTTCAGGTGATAAATTCGATGACAATTGCATTTTGCTCAAAATCGCCTACCCACACAGCTGAACTCGCTGATTGAGACATCGGTGAAGTCGTATAATTTCGTTACACAAATTTGTATGGGTGGGCACATACTATTCTTCAAATTGAAATTTCTTGAAACGAACACTAAATTTTCCAAAATCAAACGTATCACTGCCCATAGTCAATTTTAGTAATCGATAAATACCAAGATAATTACATGAAATGGGGTTAAAATGTTGAAATAACGCCATTATTCGTGCCTAGAAAACAAACCGCGAAGTCACAAGTTCGTTCACCTTTGACGAATGATCGTTCGGTAGATGATCGGAAATCTTCGTATTCATGTATCTTCTTAATGTGGAACTATTTTTAAAAACCGTGAACTTGACCCGTTCGAATCATCAAATAATCTGATCTCTACACCATACAAAGAATGATGTCTAAAATCTCCAAAAATATAAAGATTGATGAGGTTCCTACTCGTTTTATACGTTTTTTAGGCATTCACTTTCATCATAAACTAGATGAAAATACGGAAAAGATAAGCTTGTACTTGACAGGAAATATTTCATAAGGTAATGGAGTCCAGTTTATTTCTAATTCAGATGAATGAAAGAGCAGTTTCTTGTCTTCAATTTGACATATCGTTCATGCTAAATGATTAACAAGATACTATTTTATGTGGGTGGAAACAAGTCGGTGTTTTCAAGCTCGTGTGCTCATTAGGTATTCATATTGACCGCTGGGCTTGCATACGACTACGATAAATACGGGCGGTTTTCGTGCAGCGGCGTACTGACTGCATGCGACTAGCTGGTTTCGGCTCATTCTAAATAGTCAGCCATGCATATATTCTCTTTTCATGTTTATTTGCATTACGTTCCATCGAAGCCTAGGTCAGGTCACGGTGACGTACTATCATGATGACGTTCTGCCAAACAACGCTCGTTACTCACAACAGAATCCGCCATTTTATCCATGACTGTTCCATCGGTTAGTTTAATCGGGAAACTGTACGCACACAAAAATGAATTATTTAGCTCTTACCCTTGTGTAATATGCCATCAAACACTTGGTAAATTCTTCGGATAAAGAGCAAAGAGCTACATTAAAAAAAAAAAAAATCCAACGTGTTATCGTGGAAAAATTTGATGAATTGATTTGTGAACTGATTCGATAATCTTGAATCAATAGATTGTGGTGTTATGTTTGGATTGACCGGAGCACGTCGGTTTATGTGAAGGAAATCAGACAAATAAAGTGAAGATTTCACACTTGTACTGACAGCGCCAGGTTTTTCCGAGACGGATTCTTTAATTATAGAATTGGAATTATGCTGGCAAGTATTGCTTTATCAAATTCGAATCATTTCTCTGCCGTAGTTTCCAATGCATGGTCATTAGTAGGCTACGAATAGCTTAAACCTGCAGGGTAACAGAGATCGATATATTCCTCTCTGACTGTAGAGCGGGTAAATTCATTGACGTATTTAGTCTCTTTTAAGAACGATATACAGAATACAAATGTGACTTGATTGATCAACACGATATATTAGGTGTAGAAAGAAGAAATATCCATAAGATTTGTTTCACAATTGGGTCAATAGCAAAACATGGCTGAAAGAGCAGCAAATAATCTTACTGAGGTCGATAAAGCCCTTCACGAGGCAGCTTCTGAGGGTCATTTCGATATAGTTGAGTACCTCGTTGGTCAAGGAGCACAGATTGATAAGCCTACTGAAAATGGTGAGACGGCCCTTTTCTTAGCATCACGTGACGGTCATGTTGACGTAGTTAAGTACCTTGTTGGTCAAGGTGCACAGGTAGAGAAGGGTGATAATAATGGTAGGACACCGCTTCTTAATGCATCACAGGGAGGTCATCTTGATGTAGTTCAGCACCTAGTTAGTCATGGAGCAGAGGTAGATATGGGTGATAATGATGGTGAGACATCACTTCATGCTGCATCAGAAGGAGGTCACATTGACATCGTTAAGTACCTCGTTAGTCAAGGAGCTCAGGTAGAGAAGGGTAATAATGAAGGTTGGACACCGCTTATTAATGCATCACACGCAGGTCATCTTGATGTAGTTCATTACCTCGTTAGTCAAGGAGCACATGTAGCCAGTGGCAATGATGGTGGTGCAACTCCTCTTCATTTTGCATCAGAAGGAGGTCACATTGACATCGTTAAGTACCTCGTTAGTCAAGGAGCTCAGGTAGAGAAGGGTAATAATAAAGGATGGACACCGCTTATTAATGCATCACACGCAGGTCATCTTGATGTAGTTCATTACCTCGTTAGTCAAGGAGCACATGTAGACAGTGGCAATTATTGTCAGACACCTCTTCATGCTGCATCGATGAATGGCCAACTTGATGTAGTTAAGTTCCTCGTAGGTCAAGGTGCACAGATAGAGAGGGGCAATAATAGTGGTACCACCCCACTTATTTTTGCATCATTCAATGATCATATTAACATAGTTGAGTACCTTGTTAGTAAAGGAGCACAGGTAGAAAGGGGTAATATTCATGGTGAAACTCCTCTTCATAATGCATCACACGCAGGTCATCTTGATGTAGTTCAGCACCTAGTTAGTCATGGAGCAGAGGTAGATAGGGCTGATAATGATGGTGAGACACCTCTTCATGCTGCATCAAGCAAAGGCCAACTTGATCTAGTTAAGTTCCTCGTTGGTCAAGGTGCACAGATAGAGAGGGGCGATAATGATGGTAAAACCCCACTTATTGTTGCATCACGCCATGGTCATCTTGATGTAGTTCAGTATCTCGCGAGTGAACAAGAACAGATGAAAGAAGCATCCTCTAAAGGTATGATTCGCATTTTAACATTTTTTTTAATTTCATGTCAAAAAGCGATGTACTTGTAGGGACAGAACAGTAATAATACTTTTGTTTAAAGTTTTGTTATCCTTTACTTGTTGAAAGATACCCACTTAAATTAATTCGATGTAATTTTATTTATTCATTATTTTTTAATGATGAATTTTTTTACCCAACCGTACCCAGATTGTCAGTAGAACTATATTCAGCACATTTTCCTGATCCTATAATTGAAATAATTTCAATCAAAATAAATTATTGTATTGCTGTATGATCAAATGCCACTTGGTCCAATACCCGGTTCGTCCAACTTCATTTAGCCTATAACCAGTTTACATGGGTAAATCCGATAAAGCCGCTATACATGGTCAATCAACGTTTCGGCCAATCACCATGCTTTTCAATTTACCGGCAGTGCCAATAGCCGCTTGTATGTCACTAATTGGTAAAATGACCATGTCTTCGTCCAATCTATATATTAGACCACATGAAAATTAGACCAAAGGGTAATTTATACCTATTTTCTGTGTACATGGGCGTCCACCGCGATGGCATCAATGAATCGTTACTGATAATGTCGTTTATGAAGAAGGTATAAAATATGCAATACGCATAAATTACAGACTAAATTACAATTTTGGGGGTTTTGAGACATGGGTTGTTGTAAAAGGTCGTTGGGTATTACCGTGTGTAGGGCACCTCCCTGCACAATTTCTAGGTGCACTACCTTGAACAAATGCTGCTGGGAAGAAATGGCGACCATTTATTTATTTAAAATGGCCGCCATGTATAACTACTATTGTAAATTATGAAGATTACTTTAATAACAGAACCCCATTTCACCATGTGTGAGGTGTCATATGAATGAGAGTGAGGTTTTTCATACGATACTACCTCATTAAATAGGTTTGGTGATGATTTGCATAACAATTTTGGGCAAAAAATATGATTTTAACAAACTTTTCCAATAATATGAATTGCGCAAAAATTTCGATATCTCCATTTTTGATATATTATGAAGATTACTGCTAAGACACATCAACATTCCAAGTTCATTGCTTTTATAACAACAAGTTATAGCGCTCTAAAGTGGACATTTTGATATGAACCAAAACGTCAATATCCGTTGCTAAGGGCTGTCTTCTCATTAGGGACTGTAACGTAGTGACATAAAAACACGAAACCCATATCGCCTTAGACCTCTCATACCCCAAACGGGAATCATTTCTCTTTCCTTTACTATTGTTCAAGATCCTGCACATCATTTGCAAATTTGTCCAAAAATATCTAGAATACTTGAGTTATGCTCTAAGCAGTGATATAAATTGACCACCATATATATTTTTCGTGGTGAAGTAATGTATGTTTCAAAATACCTTATTTGTTTGTCACATATATATGACCGGCATAGTGAGAGTTAACAAAGTCTTTCAAAATTCAAATTTGTCAAGAATTTGTAGGACTTAATCTTGCCCGAGGCAAATTTTAAACTGCCATACTTCGTAACCTGTATTTTTTATTATTCCTCACACATGTATCTCTATTTATATGTTGACATTTCTCCTCAGACTCGGAACCAAAGGCAAAGAGGCTGAAAACCGAAGAGACGACTGAATCTGCGACGGATGACACGCCAAGTACGAGGTACAGACATGTTTAGATCTAGGCCTAGAATATTTTAACGTTATTATTATTATTATTATTAGAATTTTGCAACACATTAGATTTGGCTAAATTACGCGTAAGCAATATCGGCAGATATCGAGCATCGGTTATCAATTTTTGATGGGAGATGTTTTTGTACGATGGGAAAAATAAATGCACGCCCACCTAAAGTCAATTGACCAGTCGGATTGCTTAGATACTTTAACCCGTCTCATAACACTTTATGAACAACCATGATTATTAATGTGGGGCTCAGTCTTGTATTGGCCCGCATGGGTTCTTTTTCACAACAGAAAGGAGAAAGCGGGAAGGCGATATTTATTGTTTGGTAGCTCTGGTTCAGAATGCCCCTCTGCTGAGAAGCTCTAAGTTTATTCTCTGCTCTTTCCAATACGCATACATATGTATCAACTAAGTATAACAATACCATCCTCATCAGTATTAAAAAGGAAGTCAGTCATGTGACTGTTATGGCAGGAAGCGTGGTCAGGTGACAGAAGAGGAGGGAGAGGGATTTCTTGTAAATGGGTGTTAGAGTGAACAAAGGAAGAAAATTTATGTGGCATGTGGGGCAGATGTACATGAACAGAAGAACATATTTGACTGTGAATAAGGACACAGAGTCTATAGAATTTACAAATTAGGTAGTTCGGCAATGTCTGCAAACAACATTTGGAGAGGATAGTCGAGGTGTTGTGTAGTGGACCTTGATATTTGAGATAGTAACTCTGATCGACTCACAAGCAGCACATGTCTGACATAAATTGCGGATTTCTCTTTGGATGAATGGCCCAAAGCATGTTTTGGCTCGTCGGAGCAGGGAGGTGAAAGAAAAGGAGGCGAAACTCTTGTAATTTATTCAAACGCATTCTTGAGTTCTAAAGCGTAACAATGGGATGTGTAACATTCCACTTGGCTTTGAAGTTCCATGCTCCGAACCGCGCTTCCACTGCGGGAAATTTCGGAAGCCAGGCACCAGTTTTACATTTATTACAAAATATTAAATTACCGGCAAAATTTCAGTGTAAATCAAAAACTTTATATGGGGATTTTATTGGGAATAGTGCATCAAACAAATTTTCAAATTTAGAACTCCGTCCTTCCTTTAATTTGTGTGCCAGAGTTGGTAAAAGAAAAATTACATCCTGTCAAAAACTCAATATTTTAGGATGATGCGCTAATTTTTGCATGCTTTAATGTCCCGTTATTTGATCCATGATTTACAATCTTCAATGACATTAAGTTTGCTAATGCGTGTTTTCGCGTGTTTTTTGTATTTTTCAAGTTTAAAAAAGGATGAAAGTACACAAGTTTGTGTTCGCTCGTTCTACTCTTTACACATTCAACAATGGATGAGAAATCATTGGAAGGGACAGCGAACAGTTGCAGTGATACCATTTTCTGATGTAGGAATTCTAAATCCTGAAATTTCATGCGCTCTTTTATCTCACCACCTGGTCAACAGTTGCAGATTAGCGCATAACTTTTCGGCGGCTTGGAGCATGGGGTCAAAGGAGAGCGGCTTGATTCCTGTCCTTCTCTATCACGTCCCTGGTCGGAGGGTGCGTTTTATGCCAAAGTGTTCTGCATTAGGGTCTCCATGTAGTTGTAATAGTATAGTAGGGAGTAATGATTGGGGCACAGCAGCTTGATATGTGATGTAGCCAAGATCAAGGGTGTCGATTTGTATCCTCGTTTTTTTTTTTTTTTTTTTGGGGGGGGATGATAGGTGCAAAAATATTTTCGGCAATGGATCAAAGCAACCAAGAGGTAGAAGCGTGTGGCAGGTTGGGCCCCCTCCCTTCCAAGTTATTAATTTTTTCAAGTCACACTCAATAAAGATAACATTTAGAGAATATGGGACCCATGTGGGTCCCACATGGGCTTGCTACCTGGGCTATTATCCTCTTAAGCATATAGGCAGGATTTTAATTTAGGGGGGCGGTAGTGAGCACCTCCTAGGGGGTGGGTGCAGGGAGGGAGAGATTCCCCCTTCCCGCGCGAGGCGCGGATGCTCTGACGTTTCATTAAATTATTAAAGAAAGAAGGTACTCGTTGTTATAAGTTGACTAGTTTAAAAAGCCAAATGAAAGTCTATAAATTCACATCTGGGGATATTTTATTTCCAGATTGGGGAATAGATATCTTCACAAAATAAAATCCACAAAATTACAGTCAAACTTGTCTTCGTCTCAAAAATTAAAGGAGGTATAAATATTGCCATTTCAGTCAAGGTGAACAGATAATGTAACTATACCTTTTTCATACCATGTTTTAATGAATAAAACGTTTTTTGTTAACGCTACTCATTGTACTGTGCCATATATAATAAATGGTGTACAGTGACAAATCTCGTTTTCAGCATGAAAAGTTAAAAGCAACTCCGAGATTGGGAAACTTCCTGAATGAAAATATTTTGCATAAATAATACAATAGCATCAAATCAATTAATGTCACTATTACTAAAAGAAAATTCCCCCAAATGGAGCCAAACTATGGTCGCTAAAGCATTTCCACTGCCCAACATTACTTTATTTATTTTTATCTGAACTCTAACTTCATTTTTTTTAATGGAAAAGTTTGAGGGGCCGTCACATATTCAAAACGGAGCCGACCCGACTTCTCTGCCAACAAAAAGAGGCGCTTTCGCCAGGAAAATGGCCAGTGTCTGCTTGATCTCTGCCGGCTCTGCCGCAATCCTCGTCTCCTCGTCTTTCAAATTAAAATTTTCTTTATTAAATCTAGTATGCCACCATCTTAGACATTCGTTCGAGTAAGCTCGTGTATATAAAAATTCTACAAACAGGTGTTCAATAGTTTCTGGCTCTTGTTTACATCGGGAACCACATGTCATTGTCTCTTATTGTCATTTTTGTCTAATTTTTACGAAATTACGAAATCTTATTGGATCACGGAAAGAAGGAATGCTCAGTCGAGTTTGTCCTGTTGAATCGGATAGTCCTCGATAAATCGAGTGTTTATTCAATCTGTATGAAAAATAAAAGATGAAGAAATCCTTAGCATCATTGCCTTGCGATTGCTAATCACCAATACATCGTTCTGTTAAACCATTAAATATTGACTTTGTGAAACAGGTATATCCTTAGTTTGCCACTTTGCATCAAAATCCTCTTTTTGTATTTACCAATTGTAAACATACCTATAGCTCTCATGTAAATGTACTTCTTATAATTCACTTTAAATGTTAAATGAATATTTGCAATAAAGATTGAATATCCATTCTAATCTCAACTTGAGTAATGCCTGTTTATTAATTTGTTCCAAAAAACCTGTCCTTATATATTTCGACTACAATCAAAGAAATACAATCATGACCTCTTCAGTCCAAATATTCTCACACTGTAACATCTATCGATGTAAAATTGATACAAAACCAACATCTGTTTCATTTACCCACTTTCTAAATTGAAGTGTTTCTTACAACAAAAACCAGAATAAAAACTTCTCAAATCTTACTGTTAATGCCACCAAATAAATCTATTATTTGATGCATTATTTATACAAGCACATCAACACACATATTTAGACAAATATGGTATTAACCTAACTGACCGAAAATACTCTCGCCATACCTGGCCATACAAGTTGCGTACATTCCACGCTCGTTAGTTACATTTCATTTAACTCTACATTTCTACATTATATATTTGCTTAATTGCCTCTGAACCAATTGATAATTAATACGTACATCTTTGGCAGGATCTACTCGAAACCGTGGAACACAAATTACCCCTCGCGGAGACATTTGTGACAAAACTGTTACATCAAAAATGGTGGACAAACACGTCCGTTCTCTGACTTGATGATGTGGCTCTGAACTTAGCCGTGACTTACTTTTGCCACGTACCGGTCCCAGATATTCTAAGGTGTCCTTAAAGAAACACATGTGATCTTCTCAAAGGAAAATAAGAAAACTTCTTAATACATGAAAAATCGTCTAAATTCTTACTAGACAAATCACAAATGAAAAAGTAACATTTTCACTGAAACCCCATTACATAAAATGCCTAATTATCCGCTTCTCTATTTCGTTCAAATGTCTAGTCTTTAGCCATCATACCCTTCAGCTGGATATATTATCGCTATTTTTGTAACTGGCCTGCGATACTCTCCTGAGACAGTTTTAACTTTGACATTCCTAACTGTACCATCTACCCCAGGATACACTTGAACTACCCTCGCTATAGTCCACTTCCCTCGCACTGCATTTGCGTCTGCCAACATCGCGATGTCTCCAACACGGACGTTTCTACGCTCAGTGTTCCATTTTCTTCGTGGTACAAGTAATGGAAACACGTCTCTGTTCCAACTCTTCCAAAACGAGTTCACAATTTGCTGCACAAACTCTACTCTATGTCTGGGATTCCTGGTCTCACGGAATGGACCGTGAGGCACCTTGCTCGAAGATCTCCCCAACAACAAATCATTCGGACAGAGGTAACCTCCATCATCTGGATCATTACCAACGCGTCCTATTGGTCGTTCATTCACAAGATTTGCGACCTCTAAGAAACATGTATACAACTCTAATGGTGTGAGCACTTGCTCACCTATTGCCCTTTTCAAAGCAAACTTGCAACTTTTCACCATGGCTTCCGCACAACCATTCTGATGAGGCGCTCCTGGAGTAACAAACTTCCACACTACACGTTTCTCGGCACAAAAATCTTTGAGCTCTCTCTCTCGCTCCATCCTCTAACCATCTCGCGAAGCTCGCGTTCCGCTCCAACAAACTGCGTCCCGTTGTCGCTCAGAAACTGTGCAGGCTGCCCTCTCACTGCAATGAATCTACGTAATGCTTGGAGAAACTCCATCGTTGAACAGTCTGTTGCCATCTCCAGATACACGGCTCTGGTATTCAAACATGTGAAGATGATGCCGTAATGCTTGGCCTTCTTGTTTCGACCCACCTTGACTAAATATGGGCCAAAGTAGTCGCATGACGTATAATGGAAAGG